TATAATAGGACCCCTTACTTATAAATAAGCTTTTAAACTCCTATAGAGAAGAAGGAAAATAAATCTTTAGCCTTAAAAGACTTAGAGAAAATTAAGACCTTCGGAAGTACTATTTATTATAAAAATAAAGACCCCTTAGATAAGCTAAAGATAAGAGCTTATAAGGGTATTATTATAGGCTATACTAAAAATGCTTATAAAATATATAACTTTTCGAAAAGAAAGGTAATAATTTCTAGAAATTATTATCCTAGAAAATAAATTTATAGAAAATTAAAAGGAAGAAGACCTTAAGGACTTTAACTTTAATACCTTACCTTCTATAAATAAGGTCCCGGATAATTATTTATAAAGGGAACCTAGATATAAAGAAGGTAATAACTCTTTTTTAGATAAAAAGGAAAATAACCCTCTTATAGAGAAGGAAGATAACCCTTTTATAGAGAAGGAAGATAACCCTCTTATAAAGAAAGAAGATAACCCTCTTATAGAGAAGGAAGATAACCCGTTTATAAAAAAGGGAAATAATCCTCTTTTAGAAAAGGGATTAAATAAGGATCTAAAAATCCGTATTAATATACCTAAGAAGCTAAACGGATTTTATAAAGACTATATCGTATACCCTAAAATAAATATTATATTAAATAGTAAAAGTAAAGAGATTATTCTATCTTTACTAGAAAATAAGGATCTTATAGAGCCTAAAACATTTAAATAAGCTATAAATAGCTTAAAAGCTATAGAATAGAAAAGAGCTATATTTCTAAAAATAGAAGAGCTCTTAAACTAAAATACCTAGGAATTAAAGCCTCTTCCTAGTAATAAGGAGGCCTTAAGCGGCCGTTAGGTCTATAAAATAAAGGGGGATAATAATAATAATATTATTAAATATAAAGCCCGTTATATAGTATAAGGATTTAATTAGGTCTATAGCCTAGATTATTTAGAAACCTTTTCTATAATAGTAAGACCTAAATCTATTAAAATACTACTTATAATAGCTATTTCTAATAATTATACTTTACTATAATTCTCGTAAAGAGAGATATAAGAAGTATATAAAAATATATAAAGGTAAAATTAGGAGTAAGGGGTCGGATAGGTAGGGCAGAGAGATTTAATTCTTATAGGAGTAGTAATTATAGTAGGGGAGTAATTATTATATTGCCTTAATTATCCTTCTTTCCTTTATCTAACGCCCCTCTTTATACCTATCTAGCCTCTTAATTAATAAAGAAGATCCTACTTAAAGAAGCTACTAATATCCTTTCGACTACCGAGCTTTTTACTAGTTTTTTCCCCTCCTTTCTAGCCGTTACTAGTATATCTATCTTATCTCTCGCTACCTTTATAGTATAACGACCGGTGTTATTCCTAAGGGATAAACCTATCGAGGGGTTTATATTAGTAGATATAATAGGGCATAGTCTAAGTAATAATATATATATTACGTTAGTAATAAGTTAGAGGTCGTAGACCGTAGACTATAACTAGGTAATTAGAATTAAAGATAGAATCGTAATAAAGATCTATATTATATTAAAAGCTAGAGAGCTATCTATTTAAAGGAGTAAAAGTAGGTAGCTATATATACTTATAGAGACTATCCTTAGATTATAGGCCTAGCTATAATCCCTAACGTTAGATTATATAGAGCGTAGTAATCTTATTAATCTTAGATTACTTAGATCTTTATAATCCCTTTAATCCTATATCTATTAAATAGTTATACCGACTATTTATCTATTAGACTATATTATATACTTAACGCGGTCGACTATTAGCGGCCTAGTAGCTATAGTCGTAATACGATATCTCCCTTCCTTTTAGTCTTATCTATAAGACCTACTATAGCTACCTTAGCCGCTATATATAAATATACCCTTATCGCGTTATATATAAGTATATCGTTCCTTATTTCTTTATCTTTTTAGGATATACTACTAATAGTATATTTAGTTATATACTAAAAAATCGTTCCTAAAAAGCCTTTAAGCGCGCTGCTCTTACTAAATATATTAACCTAAGTAGAGATCCTATTAATATACTATATACTTAATACTTTAAAGCGAAGAAGATAAATTATTAGATAGCCGAAAATTCTTCGCGCTATAATAATTATATTACTAGTAGTTATCCCTATTATAATAGTATTTTAGTAGCCTCTTCTTATAAGTATCTTTTAATTCTTTCTATATATAGTAGCTAATATATTTCTTTTAGTAACTAAATTATTAGTAGAGTAGTATAGGCTATATTCTAAAGAGGAGGAAGCTAGGAAAGCCTTATTAAAGCTTTAGGTATAGCTTATAAACCTTTAGTCGTAAATATCTATTACCGTTAATCGTTTAGCTTATATCTAAAAGATTTAAAATCGTATAAAGGAAAAGAGTTCTAAGTTATTTTATTATAGTATCTAAGAAGTAAATACTAAGGATAGCGTTTTACCTACGCTTAATATATATAAGTATTAGGTAGTAAATAATTTATAATCGTTAAGCGTTCTTAACGAGGTAAATTAGTCCTTATTTAGTATAAGTAAGGAGTTTATAGATCTTAGTCTTTTAATCCCCCTTAAACCTTTTAGTAAAATTATCGAAGTAGAGAGCTATAGTAAGTTAAGTGCTTAAGTAGTTCCTAGGTATTTTCTTTTAGTCTATATCCCTTTTACTTAATAAGGTATTCTTATTACTAACCTTATTTTTTTATATTTAGTATTTATTTTACTTTATATTCTTAATCGTTATTAACTTTAATTTTTTCCTATAGTTTAGCGTTTTATAGTATTAGTTTTAATAATAATATATAAAATATCGGGTATATCTATATTATTATTAATAGCGAAAGTTCGTAGTTAACTTTTAAAATAGTTTTCTTAACCTTAAATAGTCTAAGTTTTTTAAAATCTAATTTATTACTTAGTTATTTTATTTTAATATTTTATTATATAAGGTAAACTATATCTCCGTCTTAAAAGATTAGTCCCTATAATCTTTTCCGATTATAGTAAGTAGATATTCGTTTTCTAATAAATTAAAGTTCTTATTATATTTCTTTATATAATTTTCGTAGCTAATCTACTTATAGTATCGCTCGTTCTACTTATAGTCTTTATTAAGTAACCTTAAATACTTCTAGGTTATATCTATAATTAGCGTATACTAGTAAGAGCTTAGTTATTTCTATAACTAAGCTATTATAAGCTAGTTATATTATTAGTAGCTATTTAACTTAATTGTTTTATTTATAGCTAATATAGTATTATAAATATTATTTAAGCGTTTAGTTAAGTCGTTCTATTTATCTATCTATTTATAGGTAATAAGCTATACTAAGCTTATATTTTATCCTTAATTATACTATAAGAGCTTACTAAAATTTAGCTATAAATATACTTCTTTTATTAAAGATAATCTTATTTAATAGTCTATAATTACTAATAATTATTCGTAGGAATATATATACTAGCTTTTTTATATTACTTACTTCTTTATATAGTAAAAAGTATCTATACTTTATTAATTTATTAGTAATAACGAATATACTATTATACTTAACGTTAGTTATAGGTTCTTTTAACGGTAGTAGCTTTATAATATAGTCGAAAGCTATTAAATCCTATAGTTTCTTTAGTACTAGTAGCGGTTATAATTCTCTATATAGCTTTTATCGTTTAGCTTTACTTTATATATAAAGTTTATATTCTTTAATAACTTATTATATTACTTCCTTAAGCTATAAGAAGTTATATTATTATTTAATCTATTTTATTATTCTTTAGATTCCTTAGTATCTATATATTAGATATTTATATATATCTTATATAACTTTATCTTATAATCCTAGTAATATCTAGATTTTATTTTTATATATTAAAACTTCTAAATATTCTATATTATATCCCTTTAATACTTTATATTCTTTTATCTATTTTAGGATCTCTTAGTATATTAAGTCGTTAGGTTATATTTTAAATATTATATTTAGCTATTATTACTAGTAGTTCCTATTTTTATTAATTTCTAGGAGCTATCTTTTTACTATAGGTGCCCTTATATTATAGTTACTTCGTCGACTAAGGGTATTAGCTCGACCGTTTTCTATTCCTTTTCTATAAATTATTTTATAGTTAAATTCTAATAAGTATTCTACTTATTAAATCTATCGTCCGTTTAACTATTATATTATTATAAAGTATAAGATATTTTTATAATCTATATACCCGTTGATCTTGGTGTGGGGCCACAGCAGCCCAACTAAGTGTCTTCGCCACTTAGTTGGCCCAAAAAATCCGGCACAGCCCAAAAAATCCGGCACAGCAGGGTCCTCAATTTGGGGTGCAAAATCAAGGGAAATTCTACGCTTCGCTTCATGGTGCCGTCAATGCGACTTCAAATAGCTAAAATATACATGTGATCAATAGCTGCGGATCACCTAAAGACGCAAGTAACAACGAAAAGTGAAAAATCACGTCTTTGGGCCTATTTAGGAGCTGCCGCCTTCCAGTCGAAGAGATAGGAAGACCGCGTTTGTGAGTCCAAATAGACGTATTATGTAGTAATTTCGCCTGTTGTGCGTCTCTGAGAGCTATTTTATCCATACCTGTGTTCCTGGAGCGTCTGCTGTATCTTGTTGGACGATCGGGTGCGCGGTCGAGGGCATGGTGTATCGACTACCGCTTCAACCGCTGCTAACGGCGGCGATGAGGTATATTCTCTTGCGTGTCGAGTAAATTGTCCTCGTCTTCATCGTCGGCGCCATCCTCACTATGTTTGTCAAGATCGAGGCCTGTGAAATAGACGGTATCGTCACTGCCGGGCAACGACGACATATCTGTAAGTGGGCGAGGTCGGCGCTGCGCGCGCCCTGACATCTCTGGCGGAGTTATTTCTCTCGTGGTATCATAGAAAAGGATTCCTTGGATGGCTCTTTGAGCTCCCGCATGAGGGTATCGCAACTTTGCTCCAGAGTGTAGAACTCAACGTCTCGTCCCGTAAACTCTAGCCGGGCTTAAAGTTCAATGTCTTGACTCTGCCATTGACTAACTGCTTCTTCCCGACTTTATAGTCTTCTCGGATCTTCTGCATCTCTCCACGAACTCGTTTAAGATGCATCCTTATCTCCTGGCGCGTTTGAAGCCGGGTTTGCTTTGCCTGGAGCTCCTCATACTCCCGGGTGATGTCGGCCATGCTGGAGCTCGTGATAAACTCTCCGCGCGGCCTGACAATCTTGCCTCTCTTCATTCGATTCGCATACGCCTGGGTTCGGCTATTCTTATCGCTGACTATGCCCTGGAATGTGACGCCATCGCGATAGACTCGGTGTTCACTTTCGCAAGAACCCGCAAGTTTTCTCGTGATGGCGAGCTCATGAGGGGCCCATACCGTTGCCGGATATCATTGAGGGCATCCGCGGCGACTTGGAAACGCGTCTCCGAGGGTAGGAGCGAGGCGTATGCAGGATTGATCGGCTGCTGTTGTCGTAGCTGCTCGTGGAGGATCTTGGTGATCACCGGCGCTGGGTCGACAGGAAAGAGGCCTGTTTTTTCAAATGCCGCCATAATGTTATGCCGCGTGAAGCCAGCCTCATATACGTCCTGAAAAGCTGTGAGGAAGTTGACCCGCGAAATGATATGTTGCCTTCTGCGAGCGACTTCAAGCGCTTTCTGATGTGCTGACTTTAGTGGTTGGAATACCCCAACATCAAGCGGCTGCATGAGGTGGGTGGAATGTGGAGGAAAATAGCAATGATGATATCAAACTTGATACAATACTCAGCAAAGTCAAGGGTGGTATGCCCTGTAAAGCCATCCACAACAAGCAATCGGTAGATCTTCTCGTCGTCAGGCCGTTGGTTTGGCGGCGCCTCCACGCGACTCATCCCCATGTTGGGGCGCCGAAGATGCTCGTCACAGCCGAACCACTCTTCCAGCGAATTTCCTGACTGTTTTGCTTGCGCTGACGATGCCCAAGACCAGCAGTTGAAATGCCTTGCCCACTCAAGGTGTATCTCTGCGTTGGAAAAGCCAGTTGGCGACTGGGCAAACCGTACGCCTGTCATGATGTCGATGCCGGCCCAGTTGGTGGTAGGGTAATGTTGGAAAACAAGCCAGGTGGAAGAGAGTCCCCACTGCGTTAACTGAGGCAATTACCGTGCAGGATTCTCGGTTTGCTGGTCTAAAACTCGGGGCCGGGTGCTTTTGACTCTAGTGGTGCGCGTGATGAGAACTTGATGCGTTCTCGCAGGCACCCAATGCGTATTCCGGCCTCGTCTTCATTCCAGATCTCTGAACTGCCAATACGGTAGCTGGTGATGATTTCTCGAAGCTTTGAGTAGAAAAATTCGACTTCTTCTACCCCGTGGGCTTCAAAGGACTTCCGCCTGTTCAACTGCTTTGAGATACGTCTTCGCGATCGCAGGATGACTTCCACGCCAATTGTCAAGCCAACTTGACGAGACCGGGCGGGCATTGGGATCTCGACGCATTCTTATTGCATTTGCAACAGCTTCAAGTTGCTCTCTCGTGGCGGGCATGCCGGTGCGTTCCATCCACTGTACATACGCAACCAGGGCGTCGTCTTCGTCCTCCGTCAGCGCCAATGGACGCCCTGGAGCACGGGAAAAGGGGTTTCTATGAAATTAATGGCTCTCTGTACGGATGAGCTCTTCACATTGTAACGGATGGCCGCATCTCGCACGGAAAGAGGCGTTCTTTTGGTGTTGTTGAGCGACGAACATCGGCTCTGGGGTCGCGACGAGACGCCAGAACGGCTTTTGCTGCCTCCAGGGTAGCCATGTTATCTGTCATAATGTATTCCGGCAAAAAGATACGTAAATAAAGTCAAGTTGCGCGAGAAAACGCGGTTGAGATGCATAGGGTTGACGTTTTGGAGGTGGGCTGCTGTGCCGGATTTTTTGGGCTGTGCCGGATTTTTTGGGCCAACTAAGTGGCGAAGACACTTAGTTGGGCTGCTGTGGCCCCACACCAAGATCAACGGGTAAACCTTAACTTTATACTTACTTTTAAGAAGGTAGTATCGAAATTCCTTAAAAGCTTAAATAATTATAAGGAATTCTTTATTATAGATAGGGTAATTAAGTTCTATACTATATAGCTTCTTTAAATAGAATATAATTAGTTATAGTCTTTCTTTATTATATTTTTATCCGATTTATACTCTTAAAGTAAAGTTTAATATATTAGTTTTAAGTTTAATTTATTATTTTAAATTAAAGGTAGTTAAGACTAGTTCTTATATAATTATAGTTTTAATATATTTGAAAGCTTTATTAGCTTTATCGTCTTATATAAATTCTTTTCCTTTTTTATTAAGTTATATAGTAGTACTATAATCTTTCTAAAATCTTTAATAAATCGTTAGTAGTAATTTATAAATCCTAGGAAACTTTATACGTTCTTAACGTTCTTTAGCGTTAGCTATTCTTTAACTAAGTTAATCTTATCTTATTATATTTATATTTCTCTTAGTAAGATCGTATATCTAAGGAAGTCTACTTCTTATATATAGAACTTACTTTTTTCTAGCTTAACTAGTAACTTTATATTTTAAAGTACGCGGAGTACCTTATAAATATATTCTTTATATTCTTCTAAGGTATCTAAGAAGATTAAGATATTATCTAGGTATACTACTATAAAGATATCTAAGTATTTATATAGGATATTATTAATTATCTATTAAAAGGTAGCTAGTATATTTATAAGTCTAAATAGTATTACTAGATATTTAAATAGTCTAAATTTCGTTCTAAAAGCTATTATCTATTTATATCCTTTTTTTATATATATTAAGTTATAGGCGCCTTTAAGGTCGAGGGCTATAAACTATTTTTTACTATATAATCGATCTTATAGTTTTAATATAAGTAGTAATAGTATTTAGTCCTTTATTATAATATCGTTTAAGCGTTTATAGTTAATAACTAGTCGTAGCTTACTATTTTTCTTTAAAATAAATATAACTAAGTAAAAAAAACTTCTCGCGAAACTAATATACGCCTATAGTAGGTACGTATCGCGACTAAAACACTAACTAATACTAGGAATTAATTTAGTAGTATTAATTACCCTTAGTAATAATACTACGCTAAGGCTAAGGGGTAGGTAGATATAGTAGCGGCCCTCGACGTACTAGGCTTAATTAGAGCGCGTAGCGCGAAGAGACGCTACCCGAATTTATATACCTTAATAGAGCGAGTTAATAAACCTAAAGTAGCGATATAATACCGGCCTAGGCGCCGAGCAACCTTATAGAAAAAGTAGTATACGACGAACTCGCGGGCTTTATCTTAAGCGTATAGTTTAGTAAGGTATAGGCAGTAGTCGAACGGCTCTTTAGGGCGAAGAGCCGCGCTAGTAGTACGTCGTCGGCGGTACTCCGCGTAAACGAGAGCTTTAAGATAATAATCTAGGATATAATTAAGGAGGTAGTTAAGGAAGAACTCCGCCTAAGTATTGCTTTAGGCCTAGGGGGCCCTAAGCGAACCTAGGCCGCGGTCGTAGCCGAGACTAAGGGACCGACCTAATATAAAGCTATAGTAAAATAGGTCCTACCGCGCTATAAACGCGAGATTATCGTAGTCCCTACTAAGGCACCGCTTAAAATCCTAAGCCGCGAACCGAAGGATATAGTAAAGGTAGTAAATATAGCCCTAAAAGCTATAAGCGCTATAGCGGTAAGGCGCCTTTAAAGCGGAGATATTATAGTTATATTTAATACCGCGGCGAAAGCCTATTAAAGGGACTAAAGCTAGGTTAAGGCCGTGTTTAAACTAAAGGCTACGATCTCTTACCGCGTATATATAGTAGTCGTAAAGAACGTCCCCTTAAAGGTAGCAATAATAGATAGGGAGCGATTACTTTATAAGATTATAGAGGCAAATAAAGTTAAGGTCCTTTAGGCCTAAGCGCTACGCCTTTAATCTAAGATATCGACGGCGATAACTATACTTATTAAGGTTAGTAGCCTAAAGGAGGCTAATAGGCTCTACGACCTAAGCTTAGTCCTCGAAGTATAGATCTTCCGATATAAACCCTATAATAAGTTAGTCTAACTATAGAGGTACTATAACTACTATAGATATAGCTATATCGCTAAGCAATATATATCGATATAACTCTATAGCTAATATAAGAGTATAGTATATAATAAAGGCGAGGACGAATATAGGGCTAAGAAGGGCGAAATCCCTTATAACTATATCTTATACTAAGGGGACTACCTATCGTAGACCTAGACCTACCTTATAGCGAATAAAGCCTAGGAAAAGGCAAGGGAAAACTACCTACGTCGACCTTAATAGTTCGCGAATACCTAGATATATACCGAGTAATAAGTGCTCCCTACCGTCGAAACCTAGGGCGTTCCTAAATTAACCGTAGTCTAAAAGTAAGGACTAAGTAGACCGCGCCGGGATAAGAGGTCGAGCTTAAGATACCCGCCGGCTAGTAGGGCTAGGGAGGCCGAACTAAGTATAAACGATATTCGTAGGTATAGTAGATAGAGAAGCGCTAAGAGATAAAGCGCCTCCCTCCCTATATAAATAACCCCTTTTACCTTAACCCTACTTATATATAACTAAAAGTACTATTTTAGAATATATAAAAGAGATATAAGCTAGCTTAGTTAGCGCTTTACTACTAAGCCGGCTTTAACTTAATAGTACTATAGGAAGTAAAAGCTATACTAAGAGGCGGCCCCCCCCCCCCTAGAGCGGCGCCTTATAGCCTAGTCTATAAAGAGGGGAGGTACGCGCTATATATATATAAAAGGCTCGGGCTAGGGACTTAGTCGCCCTAGTCTAGACTAAACTAAAGCGAGGTAATTTTTAGGGATAGTACTAAACTATAAGCGATTTACTTACTACTAGGGGCTATAAGGGTAAGAGCGCTACGCGACCTAAGCGTAATCGAACTAGAGCACCCTATAGTAATAGTAAGGGACTTTAATATCTATTACTTACTCTAGGATAAATATAATAGAACCTTAGATAGCGTAATATAACTTATATAGGAGGCGATAAGGCTATAACTTAAACTTACTACCTTAAGAGGGGAGTATATAAGATTCTTTTATAGCTAAAAGGATAGTACTATTAACCTAGCTTAAGTAACGCTAGAGACTAGAATATAGTATACCGGGCCCGACTTAGACCTAACTAAGTTAGACTATATCCCTTAAACTATTATACTATAGATCGATACTTAGGCCTAGGTACCTAAACTAGCCCTAAGGTAGAAAGAAGCGGAAATAAAGCTAGTTAAAGCTAAGACTACGTCCTAGCTAGGACTATACTAGCTAATACTTTAGATACTTAAGGATATTAATAAGGACCTAGACTATATCTTCGCTACTTTAAAGTAGATCGCGATAGCTATAGTTCCGCGCTAAGGGCGAGTATTACTTAGGGGCAACGTATAGTTTACCTTAAAGGTAAGGAGGGCGATAAGAGAAGCTAAGAGGGCGAGGAGGAAGTATAGGCGGGAAAGGAATAAAGCGAACTAAGAAGACCTATATAAAGCGTCTACGGCTTAAAAGT